ATGTTGATGTGGATCAAATTTCATGAGGTTTGACTGTCAATTGGCCACAGTTGACTTTTTCCCCATACAGTTGATTTCTAGGTCAACTGTCCAATTGCCTGGGCAAAACTTGGAATCAAGACTTGAAACTTGGTATGGGTAAACTTGGGAGTCCAATATGAAGCATGAAAGTCATCTTAGGCATTTTAGGTCAAAACATCCTTAGGCAAACACAAACCCTAATTTTGAGTCCACAGTGCAAGGAGGAATCTTGAGCAGAGGAAACCCTAATTGGACCTTGATCTTCAAAGGTCTTGTGATGAGAAAATGTTGGGGAAATGGGAGGGCAAATTTTGGGGTACAACAGTGTGAAAAGAAAAACTCCTACTTCTTTGGCTCGAAGGGGTTGACTAGGGATTATCTTTCTTATAACTCCACGGTTTAGGATTTGAAACAACGCATGTACATCGTCAACAAGGTCTGTTCAAAAGCATATTGTATAGATTGTGGTATCGTTTTCGTCATCCTCCCTCTAAAGGCTTACAGTTTTTTATTCGAGAGTTGAATATCACGAAAAGGAAATATAAAGCAATTTAAGCATAATGAAAACAAATTAATTCAAGACAGACATGTGTAATGCATTAATGAAATAATAGAGTTTGACATGACAATAATTGTTCGAATAAGCAAAGAAATACAACTTCATAATTTAAATGAACAAAAATTCTTTCAATCCTAGCCATGTTTTGGCAAGGGAGTAGTGATCACGTTGGGAGTCTCAGGAGGGTCGAATTCGATCTCCTTGTCATCAATCATATTCTGAATCTTGTAGTTAGGAGAAGAAGTCTTAGGGTTCGGATGAGGGTTTATCACCGTAATCAGATTCATCTTCAACATGTGTTACAATGCTTGTGACAATGGCATGTTGATTTGGGTGAACTTCATTTGAGGTCTTTCCACCCTTGGATGATTGTTTCGTTGTTGTGGTCGTTGTGTGTGTGCCGAATTAGAGATCAACACTGCCTCCACAGATTGGTGGTAGTCTGCCTTGCTATGCCCCTTCTGGCTGTGCACAGCATTGGCTTCCCTCTTGCCACCAAATGACTTCTTCTTTGTACTCGAAGAGGTATTTTTCGGGATCTTGCCACTCCGGATCCCAACTTCTACTCTTTCTATAGTAAATATCAGCTCAGTGAAACCAGCTGAGGAGCTACCAATCAAGTGATTGAAGAAAGGACCAGACAACGTACCAAGGAACATATCCACCAACTCCCTATCAAACACAGGGGGTCGGACTCTCCCTGCCAGATCTCTCCATTTTTGCGCATAGTCCTTGAAACCTTCACTTGCACCCATGGACATACTCTGGAGTTGAGTACGGGTAGGGGCAAGGTCAGCGTTATATTGATACTAAAAAGCAGCAGCCAGATCTTCCCAGTTATAGACATTGGTTCCCTCTAGTTGATAGAACCATTCAAGCTGAGTCCCAAACAAACTGTCCTGAAAGAAATGGACCCATAAGTTCCTATCAGTGGTGTGAGGCTGAATCTTCCTGACATAAAAACGGAGATGGAGTTTTGGGCAGGACACCCCATCATAATTTTCAAAAATTGGAGCTTTGAACTTCTGCGGGATGACCACTCCCGACACCAATCCCAATTCTTCGAAATCCAACCCAGGTATCCTCTGGACCTCCATAGCATTCAAGCAATCTTCCAACTGCTTGTATCTATCCTCAGTGGGAGGATACTGCTCATCATTGTAGTCGGTATCATTGTCAGAAACTTCAGGACTGGGATCTTTCTCCCTTGTCTTTTCTTCTTGATTCTCCCCTTCCTTAGATGAAGAGGTCAGATCGACTTGTCGCTTCAATGGTCCTCTAAACCTTCTGCCTATATTCAGAATACCGGCAGCCTTCTTCTTTTTCTTTTTCTCTTTCAGAATGAGGGTTTTCAGATCCTCCTGCCCTTTTGCCAAATTTATGAACATTTGCTGGAATTGGGTGTTTTGTGCCTGAAGGTCCTTGATGCTTTGTTCGGAAGACATTTTTGCTGAAATAAACAGCAAAGAAGATGAGAAACCTGTAATGGTACCTGTAATGATGTGTATGATATGCATGCAATGTTTTCAAGGATCTCGCGGGGTAAACAAGAAATTGTTAGAATTTGATTGCAGCTTGATTGAAGAAACTTTGTGTCGTTGAGAGTCCTTCTTCAAGAGTCAAGCTCACCATATCGAGTGGGTCATAGCCCCTGACTTAAGATCCTTTGACAACATTGGCTAGAGGAAAATAAATCCCCTTTCCCCTTGCTATACGTCTGGTTCGCCATGACCTACATCACAGACCCTTGAGATCCTTGAAATGGTTAGTATGATATGCCATGTTTATGATATCATGATGTCATGATTATGTTGAGAAATCACAGGTATAACAAGCACAAACAAATCACACCAAGTCCTTAGGTTTAAGGCTTGCTTGAGTTTAAGGTAGTACCCTCTTGAAGTTGGATTGGTTCAGCCTGTCCTATAAATAGTAACCGGGTTCTAAGGGATCTCAATATCACTGACCATCCTTTATCGAGAATTGTCTCAGCTCAAGCAATCTTTTCTTGCTGCTGAAATATCCCGAAAGTCTGATCTCAATGAATGTAGCATCGAGTATCAACCAATTCTCAGATCTACACCGAGTCCGGCTATCTCACTACTTTCTAATGGCCAAGTTTGTTCAACTAAGGTTCTAAGGTCCGTTAGTGCTTCACGACACCATGCGGCAGCCCCATATTCTCCTCGTTTCCCCATGAAGGATACCGGTATCAACCAAAGTGCCACACCAACACAGCCATCGCTTAAAATATATTGGTCTACGTCGTACAGTCTCCATGATCTATTGTTGTTTACCTAATAAGTGTCCCCGGATTCGGGTGTAGGATCTTCAACAATACCCAAGCAAAAACCCTTAAAAATAAAGCAGGCAAAACAAACAAGAAAGCAATTTAAAAATGGCCTAGATCCTAAGGTAAACCCCACTTTATTAATTTTCCCCAGCAGAGTCGCCAGTTCTGTGATACGGTGGCAGATCGAACTGTTATACTGGTTTGCATTTTTTGTTTGCAAAATGTTGTGGTAAGCAAGAGTCGCCACCGACTTTTATTTCATCCTGTAGCGGTGAAAATCGGAGATCAAGCTATAAATTAACTTGACTCACAAAAAGCAAGAGTCGCCACCGCGCTTTATTATTTCCAAGGGATAAGGGAAAAGAGCGAAATAAAACCCTAAAATATGCAATGTAAAATAATACTTAAAAGTAATAAAAATACAATGCGTTTTTGAAAGAGATCGAGAGTTCGGGGGTTGGTTATACAATGGGAAGGTATTAGCACCCAATGCATCTGCGGTACTCCGCAGGAACCTTTTGAAATATCTGTTTTTTGGTTAAAATTGTTTGTTTAGTTAAATGGGTACGGATGAGATTTTGAAGATACGACGACCTAGCGTTGAAGTTTTGACTTAAAAGGGGTGTGAGTTTAAAAATTGATTTGTAGGAGATTTGTCTTAAGATTAACAAAACTAAAAAAAGTATGAAGGGATTTCACATAATCGTATTAGATACTCGATGACATGAAGTCAACAAATTAATTCTTTCCCTTGGATTTAAAGCCACAGACAGATAAGTAAGCTAAGAGTATACCAAACCTTAGGTGAAAATAAATCACAAGCCGACAGCATCAAAAAAAAACCTGATGTGAGATAATACTCCAAGCGTCAGATAAAACGCATCAAGTGAAAATAAATCACATACGAGAAAAGCGTGTCAGGAGAGGAATCAGATAAAGCGCAAAGGCGATGGATAAAGCTCACAGTGTCAGATAAGAATCCCTGCATCACAAGAGATATACCGACAAAATCTAACAGCACGGGGAAACTTATGTGCGTCCGCACAATTTTCAGAAGTTAGTTGGAATTAAAAACAAAATCACAATGTAATGAAAATAATATTTTCAAAAGGGAATTTATTTACAAGTAAAATATACAGTCAAAATATTATATACAAGTATATATTTACAGTACCAAATATTAAATCAAAATAGTAAAATACAATAAAAAGGTAAAAGGGAGAAGTATGGGAATTGTGGATGCGCTATGTGAGAATGAGTGCTTAAAATAGATTTTCGAAAACCTTCACAATAACAAACGCGTTAGTAGCATAAGCGGTATACAAATTAAAATTGAAACAAAATTGCAACAATTAGTATTTACAAGATATAAAAAGAAAATGAAACTTGCATGAATGCACATGGACAAATCAAGAACCAAACAAATGATGATTATTCAATTCCAAACATGGTAAACGATGTTCTAAACAACCCTTTACTCCACCAAACCGAATCCGGGCAGCAGCTATACCATCCAAAAATGCTCCATAGAATTTACCTCAAATAATCAAGTTCAAACTCAAAGAAAAAAATAATACTACCCACAAGTTAAACCTTTGAAATCCAATTGAATTAAACAACAAAATACCAATACAAACCTTTAAATTATCTCAAATAACATGTTGTCCCAACCAAATTAGAACTCAAACAAAAATAACATTCAATGTTCAATCTCATCAACTGAACATAGACTAATCAACAATTGTATCACAAATTCGACATTGAAATCTCATCACAAGCTTGACACAAACATTAGCATCAAGAACTTCACTCATATCTACCATTAAACCCTTGCACATTACAAACAAAACATCACAGCATAACCAATTTTCAGATTTAAACTCAAGAAATACTCATGGTAGCATAACGGTTTCTTACTCAAACAGTTTGAAGTTAAACAATTACCGACCAGGTTCTTTAATTATAATTCACAGACTACTCGAAACAGCATAACAGCTACAAGTAAATAAATTGAAAGTTACTGAATCGTTTGCAGAATGTTGAAGCTGTTGACAAAGGCAGATGCGCACGAATTTCATCATACCCGGTATTTCCGTTCTTTACCCAAATCACATGCCATCCAAGTGCCTAGAAACGTTGATCAACATTCTCAGTGAATGCAATTTCAGTGTCACCGTTAATTGAAATGTGGTTATCATCATAAAGTGCGATAAGTTTCCCAAGACCCCAATGTCCAGCAAGTGAGCATGCTTCATTTGAAATTCCTTCCATTTGACAACCATCACCCAATATAACATACGTGTAGTGGTCAACAATCTCACTGTCAGGCTTGTTAAACCGTGCAGCCAAATGTTTCTCAGCAAGTGCTAAACCAACACCGTTGGCAATACCCTGACCCAGAGGACCTGTGGTGACTTCAATTCCATAAGTCTCAAAATTCTCAGGATGTCCAGGAGTTTTACTTCCCCATTGTCGAAACTGCTTCAAGTCTTCTTCCTTGACACTGTGATAGCCGGCAAGATGAAGAAGAGCATACTGAAGCATACAACCATGTCCAGCAGACAAAACAAAGCGATCACGGTTAAACCAAGAAGGATTGTTGGGATTATATCTCATAATTTCATCATACAGAATATGCCCCATTGGAGCGCAACCCATGGGCAAACCCGGGTGACCCGAATTGGCTTTTTCAACAGCATCAATAGCGAGAAAGCGAATAGTGTTAACCGATTTCTCCACCAGGGAAACTTCAGCGGTTTTGTCGAGTGTTTCAATAGCGGTTGCACGGATAGTTTTTCTGCGACGCGAAGCAGTTGAAGAGGAGGTGAGTGGTTTGGGTTTGAGAGAGGGGAAGGTTGTTGTAAACAGAAATAAAGGGAGCGGATGATGCTGAGATTGGATCGGTGAAGGGAGTTCGTTGGGTTGTGTGAACTGAACGAAGGTGAGGCTATGATGTTGAAAGGTTGACGGAATGGGTTACGGTTGAAGTGGTGGAAAACGTGAAGCTAGCGAAGACGGTAAGTGAGCAAGTTGTTGGGGTAGTTATTATTTATGTTGTGTTGGATTGAAGGCGGAGGCAGGGAGTAGTGAAAGATGGAATATCACTGGGTTGTTGATTGAACTCGCGGAAGAGGGGAAGTAATTGAATGGAGAGTAAAGGGTTAACAGTGGCGAGAGAGAGATGGAGTGGTAGCCGTGGGGTAGAGGGGGTGGACTGGGTTGTTGATTGTGTTATTGTTGCATATTGAAGAGATTAGGGACTTTTTATGTTGGTGAAACAGTGAGGTGAGTATGCTGGATTGTGTACCGGCGGTGATAGGTGGTAGAGGAATTAAAGGGAGATTGGTGATAGCTGGTGGAATGGGTTTACTGCTTATGCTTGTTGTTCGTGGAGAGAGGATGAAGGGAATTAGGAATGCGTGGGTTTTGAACTGAGGAAATTGGGAAGAGAAATTGAATAGAGAGTTAGAGAGAATAGATGAAGAGCTACTGTAAGTGTTATTTGTTTTGTGTTTTTTTTTTTTACAAAGAACCAAAGCTATTAAATAGAAAAAAATAAGAGGAAAAAAATATGATATCAAAGTAAATCACATTTGTTGCTTTTCTTTCAATTCCATTGGCAAATTTGGTTATCCGAAACATGTGTTAACAACCAATAGGAATCAAGCATAGTATAATCAATAAATATTTTGTGACCAAATAGCCCTTAAATGATAAAAATGAAATAAAAATTGAAAGTATTAAAATTAATTCAATTTAAAATATATTTTTTGAATAAAAAATAAAGAGCTAAAATGACCGAAAACAATAAAAAAACGGACGAAAATTTATCCGAAAAAATAAAATGAACACATTAAAATAAACTACATGTCACAAAGATTAAAGAAAAAATATTCAAAAAGTAAAAATAGGAATAAAATGATAATGAAAATACCAGGCTAAACAGACGTTTTACGGTTAAAAACGAGACTTCAAACTGTATCGAAAAAATAAAGCGAGCATACCGTCATAATCTATGCGAGATGCGGATTCATAAAATGATCGGTAAAAGGTGAAAACTTGAAATATTTTCTCGCTAATTTCCCGCATAGTGTCGAATCTCTTTTAACAGTCTGTCTATAAAACCGAAATATTTTATTATTGACATATAAACAACTTGGAGCAATGCAAGAAAATAGTAAACAGATAAAAATGAATGAAGTGAAATGTCGGGTATTTTACAACTGAAAGACAATGCAAACTTTGATTTAAACTGACTTTTTTCTGGTCAACTTAAATACGACTAATGATGCAAAATATGATGAATGAAAATATTTACTAATGATTGTGACCAAATAACAAAATATGATATGAAAGTGCGACTAAAACATATTAGGGGCGAAATTTAGGGTGCAACAGTGTGCCTTGATGAATCAGTCTTCGAGAATCCATAATCAACCGTACTTCTGGCTTGGGAGACTCAAAACCTTAATTGAGGTGCGACACCTGATGCTCTTGATTCAGATCTGTCTCTGCACATGACACAAAAGAAAACATGAACATACACCTTTGTATGCGATTAGAAATTAGTGATACATATGCTAAAAATGTTCAAAACACTTGACAATCTTCGCATAGTCAAAGCTCGAAGGTGAGATGTTAAAACCGACCGTATTTCGTGACCTTGACTTATCTTAAAAAATGCAAAAATAAAAATTGGATCTTAGGTCAAAAATTGGGGTACAACACATCCAACAAAGGAAAAGGAAAAAGAACAAAAAAAACCTTTTCGAGATGTTTATGAGTACGGGGGGTAGATTATAGAAAGGGAAGGTGTTAGCACCCTTTCCATCTGTGGTTTTCCACGGGCTCTTAGGTACTTGCTCATTTTGAAATTGCTTGTGTGTGCTTTGCTTTGAAAAGTTTTGTTTTACTTCGTTTTAACCCTTGTTTCTATCCTCACGAGTGTGACGAAGTTGTTTTTGAAAACTATTTTGAAAGTGTTTGTGTAAAAGAATTTTTATTGTTTTGAGCAAGTACTTAAGATTTTCTACCTACTAGAAAAAAGCTCTGTTCGTTTTCCTTTTAGACAGCGTTATCCCATTATTAAGGAATAGGTAGCATTGTCGTTGGAGTTTGAGGGACTATCGAAAAGGATGAAATGGTCATTGAAGGCAACATGTAAGGATACCTTAGCAGTTCGAAGAGACTGTCATCATATATTCGTAGGCAACATCGAGGGACAAGATCATTTCTCGTAGGCAACTCGAGGGGCATTGAGGGACTATGATCTTTATGATGACTTTTAGATTGAGGGTCTTTTGCTAAGATATCCCTACGTTCGAGGGACACAACCATTATTTCTGAGGCAACCAAGTGAGGCAAACCCTAGGAGTGAGCATGTGCGAGTGTAATTTTCAGTTAATTCATCTTTGCACATTTAGGGTTTTCTACCGTATTAATTTTCAGTTTGTCTTTCCATACAATCCTATTAACATACATCTAAGCAGTTTATAGTTTGCGGAATTAAAAGCAAGAAAGTTTAAAGTCCTAGCTATTACAAGGCTTTTGCAGATACACAATTATTTTGGACTGAAAATAAAAATGCAGAATTTAAACCCTAATTACTAGTACAACCTCGAAACAGTTACAATAATAATAAAAGGAAATTAAAAAATGCACGCGGCGAATTAAATGCGAGAATAATTTAGGAAACCTAAAAAATCTAATTGAAAAAGAGATTTAGGTTAGTTTTTTTTTAGAAAAATTAATTAGGTTATGTACAAATTAAAACCCTAATTTCTAATTAATTTAAATTATAAAAAAGGAATTAAATTTTCCCTAAATTAAATTTGCCCTAAATTAAATTAAACTAATTAATTAAAGAAATAAAATATTTTTATGAAAAAAAATGATTTTTTATGTTTTTGATGATTTTTTGATTAAATAAAAAATAATGATTTTTTGGTGTTATTTTAATAAAGGAAAATAATTAGTAAAACAATTAAAAAAAATAAAATAAAAAAGAAAAGAATGGGCCTGTGTTGTGCCAGCATGAGAGTGCATCATAGTCCTTCATTGTTTGAGGCGTTGGATCTGAATTATTGATACATCCAATGGCCAGATGGTGGTAGCGCATGGTAGGCGTTTTGGATGATGATGCATTGAGTCTGTAAAAACAAAGTAAGAAAACAAAATTTGCTAGGATGGTTAGTTGTATATATAATAACATAAATAAAATATAAAGGAAATAAAGTGGTCTTTCCCGAACGCGCGCGTGATTCAAATCACCCAATAGGATTCTGCCACCTAATTGTATTCTTCCCCATAACTGTTATTTTTTGCCACACTTTTACCTACAGTCGTTTCCGTAACTAAAGGCTATAGTGATGAATTTTGTTCGTAGCCATAAACCTGTAAAATTCAAAAAAAAAAATGCAGCACAAGCAGAATAAATTCAAACCAAAGACATGGATCAACTGGAAATCATCTCATGAGCACGATAGTACCCCTAATTTTGTCCAATTTTGCATTTATATAGAATTTCCAATTCGGGACCTCAAAACCCTAACAATGGCATCGTGCCATTCCTGCACTTAAACTTCAACCAAACCAATCAAAAACATTGCAAATATGATAGCAAGCATGGATATATGATCAAAACATATTTATGATGGATAAATCATTGAAAACAAATCTTGAAAAAAAGATGCAAACCGTGGCACTTTGAGGCGTGATTTCTGAAGGTTTTAAGGCTTGAGGATGATTGGAATGGCTTCAGAACACGTCCAGGAACAGATTGTTGGCTTTGGAATTACTTGAAACGGCCATGGAAGAGAATACAGTCTGCACTTTTTCTTCCAAAATTTGCAATTTCTTCCCCTTGTTTTCACGACCCCAGACCCTCCTTTATGCTTTAGAGATGTTAGGTATATATGATAGAATTATTTAGGTCAACAAAAACTGATCATATCTTTGCAAATTATGGAGATTTGATTTCATTCTTTTCCTTGTATGATTTGTTTCCAAAATAGACTAAATTAAGATCTTTTCCAATCAATTAGCTCTTACACGAATTTTTTGATTTGCTAGTTGTTCATGGACTCATAATATGCTCATAAAATCAAATCTTTGATTTTATTTGATTATTCTACTATTTAAATTGATTTATTTTGATTTAAATGGATAAAAAATCAAAATAAATAATAAAATTAATAAAATAATAGATGGACAAGATCAGGGGTCATGGGCCATCTTAGGAACAATTTTCAAACAATAAAACATGGGCCCATTTGGAGAAAAAAGTCATTTTGATCAATGTTGACTTCATGCACATTTCCAAAAATTGGTCAACTTTGACAATACACATCTCTCTCATTTTTAACCCTAAGAAGGTGTTCTTGGACTTTTTAGAAATCTTAGGATGTCCCCTAAACAAAACTTTTTGTTTACTCTCAATTGGGTCTTCCATGTTCATGTAAGAAGCTTTGACCCAAAAGGTGTTTTTGTTGACTTTTCAAAAGGACCTATAATGTAGAAATCCATATCTTTTGATGAGTGCATATTTTGAACTTGTGGGATGAAAATGAATTTTAGGGAATTGCATCCTCTTTAAAATGAGCCTTGGATGGAAAATTTCTGATAAAGTATGAAGAAGTTATGCTTGGTCAAAGTTTGGTTGACTTTTCTTGAGAAACCTTAATTTAGCAACTTTTGGGTTTTGATGAATTTAGGGCATTCCTTGATGAAGCATGATCAACCCTTGATCAAATGATGAAAGTCACTTAAAAATGTGGATGTTGACCAAAAATCTTGAAGTTTGACTGTATCTGGGCCACAATTGACTTTTGACCTAATACAGTCGATTCTCAAGCATCTGAGCAGTTGACTGAGCAAACTTCTTATGCAGTGCTTGAAATTTGACATGGAGGGTCTTGAGAACATATTAGGACCATGGAGAGCATATGAGGTCTTTGGAGTCCACCTATCTTAATGAAAATGGAAACCCTAATTTGAGACACACTGCCTTAGGAGAGAGTTTGTCTGGTAAACTCTTGGGCAAACTTGAGCAAATTGAGGATCTATAAGAGTATGTATTGAGTAAAATGAGAGGGAAAATTTTGGGGTACAACAACATCCAACCCACTTAAAGGCAAACAAACCAAAATCAACAGCAAAGTCTCTATCGAAGATCAATAACGGGCACTTTAAACATACAAAAGAAGTAGTCACTGACCCCTTGGCTGGAGTATCGACGACCATGTCTCCATTCATAGAAGACAACATAAGACCCAATCTTTCAACATAATCAGAAGTAATAAAGCAATGAGTAGCACCGATATCAATAATAGTAATTAAAGGAGTATTATTAATGAAACATGTACCTCTGATGAGTCTATCCTCATTAGCTACCTGATTCTCAGCCAAAGCGAACACATTTCCACTGGTTTGCACCTTCTTTGGTTTTTGACATTGACTACCAATGTGTCCCTCTTCACCACAGTTGAAACAAATCATCTCCTTATGCTTGCACTTAGATACAACATGTCCAGTCTTACCACAACGGAAACACCTCTTCACCTCAGTAGTACACACGTTGCTCTTATGACCAGGCTTTCAACATTTGAAACAAACCACACCAACAGGAGCATCTCCCCCACTAGTTCTCTGACCCTGAGCAACTTTTTGTTTACCTTTAACAACTGGGGCATCATAAGGCTTACCACGATTTTGTTGGTGCTTACCCCTCTTCTCACTGATAATCTTATAGTGAGCATTATTATCCTCTTCATAGATCCTGCAACTATTAACCAAATCAGAAAAGACACGAACCTTCTGGTATCCAACTGCCTTCTTGATCTTCAGGCGCAACCCGCTATCAAACTCGATGCACTTTGAAAACTCAGCATTTGCCTCGCTATAGTGCGGATAAAACTTGACCAACTCAGCAAACTTTGCAGCATACTCAACAACCGACATACTCCCTTGCTTCAGCTTAAGAAACTCAATTTCCTTCTTACCACGAACATCT